CTTGAACCACTCTCTTCCAAAGAACACACACTGGTTGAACCCTTCTATCTGGCCTGCCTGGTCTCTTCAGCATGAGCAATAACCCAGAGCTTTCTCACCCAAAATGGACCCTGACCCTGACCTAGAACTTGCAGACCAACAGCCACTGACACACCAAGCTGCTATAGACAGTCTACAAAAATCCAGTGTGCAGAGAGGGGTATATACAATGCTAGAGGCAAAACGGCAACTCCTATCAAAAAATCAAGTTCTTAAGAAGAATACAGTGTGTTCTGGCAGTTTCTTATAAAATTAAACATACATTTGACATATGACCCAGCAATTCTACTCTGAGATATTTATCTAAGAGAAATGAAAATAGATGTCTGCCATAAACTTTCTTTAGATTATATAGCTCAGCTCTCAGATATTAATGCATGGTAAGGAATCACACTTGGGGCAGTGAGCTGAAACTCACGCACTCACAGAATCCTTCTCCTTTACCCTGTCCCTCTGGTTGCCACAGACCAGGAGCAGGAGGAGTCCCGACCCCTGCACCAAGGGGCGAGGAGTTTAGGCTGTGCAAGTAAAGCACAACTTTCTCAGCACTCTTCACGGTCGTGCCTTTGGTGTGGTATCTAAAAAGTCATCACCATACCCAGGGTCACATTATCATCCAGAGGTTTTATGGCTTTATATTTTACACTTAGGTCTGAGCCCCATTTTGAGTTAATTTTTGTGGATGGCGCAAGGTTTGTATCTAGATTCATGTTCTGCAAGTGGCCATCCAAGCTGTTCCAGCACCATTTGCTGAAAAGATGATTTTTGTGCCACACTCTTGTCAAAGATTAGTTGACTGTATTTACAGGGGCTACTTCTGAGCTCCCTATCCTACCCCACTGACCTGTCTGCTCTTCTACCACTACCACACCGTCTTGATTACTGCAGCTTTACAGGGTCGTATAGTCGGCTCCTCTAACTTTGCTGTCTCTGCACACTTCCTAGCCCCTTTGCCTTTCCTTTTTAAACATAGATGTTGCCATGAACGTGGGCTTTTTCTTAGTGATGAGCTCTCCTGAATTCAGGGATCAGCTGCTTGTAAAGCAACAGTTTTGCCCCCAAGGGCTCTCTTTTCAGGCACTTTTCCCAGCTCCTCACAATCACACGGCAACTTCGTGGGTTTTCAGAATGAGGGACATTTGAGCTGGAAGAGATCTTGGAGGTGATTAGACTCCCTCACTTACCACATGGAGACACCAAGGCCCAGGGACATTAAGTTGATTCATTTCCCAT